GAGCCCCAAAGCTCCCCACATGGCTGTTTCTGAGCCCAAAACCTCCCTCAGTGGGTGTTTCTGAGCCCAAAAGCTCCCCAAATCGCTGTTTCGGAGCCCCAAAGCTCCCCACATGGCTGTTTCTGAGCCCAAAATCTTCCTAAATGGGTGTTTCTGAGCCCCAAAGCTCCCCAAATCGCTGTTTTGGAGCCCCAAAGCTCCCCACATGGCTGTTTCTGAGCCCAAAATCTTCCTAAATGGGTGTTTCTGAGCCCCAAAGCTCCCCAAATCGCTGTTTTGGAGCCCCAAAGCTCCCCACATGGCTGTTTCTGAGCCCAAAATCTTCCTAAATGGGTGTTTCTGAGCCCAAAAGCTCCCCAAATCGCTGTTTCGGAGCCCCAAAGCTCCCTATATTGGTGCTTCTCAGCCCCAAAGTTCCTTAAGTGGAAGTTTCGGAGCCCCAGAGCTCCGTAAATGGGTGTTTTGTATCCCTAAAGCTCCCTGATTCAGTCTTTCTGAGCCCAAAAACCTCCCTCAGTGGGCGTTTCTGAGCCCAAAAGCTCCCCAAATCGGTGCTTCGGAGCCGAAAAGCTCCCCAGGGGAAGGGGCTATGGCGGGAGGAGATGCAGCTTAGGCATCGTTAGGTCCCTTCTCCGCTCAAATCCCACCTCTGCTTGGTGTAGAGAGACCCCCAGGATGTCCTTCCGCATCCTCTTCCCACAGCCAAGCAGTGGGCGCTCGCTCCGAGGCATCCGGGTCTTTCTGAAATACCTCGGAGTAACCCAGGGGTCTTCGACAGGGCGGGAGGTGACGACGCAGGGGACGTGCGACCTCTAGGGACGTCGGCCAAGAGCCAACTGAAGTGGATGTGAGTGGTGGAGCAGGTGAAGACGGGGAAGGGGGACGGTGGCAGGAGGACGCAGTGGGGACCCTCTACCTCTTCCCCAACAGCTGCCGGCCCAGCCCGTATTTGTTTGGTGGACATCACCCACCACAAGACATGATGACCCCGCAGTTTGTTGCTGTGCTGTCAGAATTTCATGACCTCGACAAAAGGCCCAAGATCTGCGTCGTCTTCTACAAACAGCCCGGCCTCTGCGAAGAATTCGCCAACATGGAGAAAAGGTGAAAAAAAAAAAGGATGGTTGAATTTACGCCGAGGAGGTGTTTCCGCTGCAGTTCTCCTTTGGGAGATTCAGCTCTGGGCTGAAGGACCTCGCTGCAGGTTCCTACAGAGGTTGGAGGTGAACCCCCAAATGGAGCCATCCCGGTGGAGTCACAGCACTTGGTGATGGCTCCTCCAATCTCCTCATCGCTCATGGAGCTGCCATTTTGGCTGGGGCCAGGATCTTTCAGCCCCGTGCGAGGATCCGTGCTGGGCTGGTTGCTTTAATTAGTCCCTTGGCTGACGAACCCGGCTGTGGATTTCTCCCTGGCGTTTTGAAGGCCAACGATGTCTCGTTGGCTGAACCAAAGCTTGACCATCAAGGTCAACCCCCCAAGCCAACAAGCTCTTCTTCCTCTTCCAGAGGCAGAGTGATCACGGGCAGCGCCAGGATCTTACCTGCAACGAGGACTCATCTTTTATAAATACGCCCTCGTTAACACCTACAGCCAAGAGAGAGAGTGTGAATTAGAGCCCATTTCTTTAGAGAGCTCCAACAGCCCAGAGTCATTGAAGTACAGAAACGCTCAATTACATCGTGTCGTGAATATACCCAAAACGGAGATCAAAGCGGACGGTAAGCGCCGTTACTTACCCCAAAGTCATGACTGGCCACGATGGTGACGGCCGTAGGCTGGCCTACGTTTCACCCTGGCTTATTTTGGGAGGTTTCAAGCCGCGGGTTTACGAGCTGCTCATACAAATCAGCTTTTTCCCCTCGTAATAAAACTCACGGCTGGCACCCAAGCCATAGCACCCGAATGCTGTCCGGGAAACGGGTGGCACCTCTTGGGCTGGAGAAATGCGCAGGTGGTTTCGTGCTTTCGGGGCTCAGCCGAGCTTGGCGTCTACCTTTTGTTCCCAAACTCTTCCTTTTTCCCCAGGAACGTGGACTTTCTTTGAACACATCGAATGCCGTTTCCCCAGCAGCAGCACTGACATTTGGGAAGTTTTACCCAAAAAGGTGCCCGGGTGCGCGATCCAGATGGAGTACCTGGTGAATGATTTCTTTGCTCACACTACCTCCTGGAATTCCCTTGAGGATACAGAGAGGAAACCGGATCGGTACAAGGAGAGCACCAAAGTCTGTCTCGGGGATGCCGAGAAAGGAGAAGACTTTGAGATCGTCTACGATTGGGATGAGGAAGTGGTAAGCGTCCACCAAAACCTCTGAGGAGCTGGCAAAGCGATGTCCCTCGTTTCGGGGGATGGCTTGGACGGCGGAGGGGTGAAGCCAAGAGCCTTCTCCTGCCCGGTGTATTTAGCACGTAGGACCTTCCCGGATGGACGTGTGGCACCGGGAAGAAATAATTTCTCCCTAGGGAGGTGCCACGCAAGGTGCCCCCAGGCAGCAGCATCTTCCACCTCCCACCCTCCTCCCTGGACCGGGCTGTTCTCAGACAAAAACCATCTTGTCCAGCCTGGTGAAACACCCTCTCCTTACTCTTGTTGTCCAGGTGAGAGACAATATTGGAACCTTCATACAGGCGATCATCAAGCGCCTGAAGGCCGAGAAACATAAACTTCCTAAGCTCCTGTTCGCCTTCCACACCTCGTTTCGCTATCACGTCCCCCCTCCCGCCGGCATCCATCGCCAAGGCTGAAAAGCGCCTCCAGGCCATCGAGTTCTTCGAAGACAGATACAAAGAACTGAGAGGAAAAAGGTAATTTAGATTTGTCAACCTGCTCGCTTGGAGCAACGACACCTTTAGAGGTGCGGGGCTCAGCTCAGTTGTCCCCGCATGTCACTTTGGGTGCCATGTGCTATCCCAAGGGGTCTTTGAGGGTGCATAAACCCGGGTTGGTGGCTTCCAGCCTGGTGAGCCTATCTGGGGTACCCCGGGCACCTTGAAGAGCATTCGACCGTCTCCGATACTGGTTGTCCCGTGGAGGTGTCTCGATCCGAGCTCTTTCCAGGCAGCTGCCTGCAGGCAGGATGAATCCTATTGCACGTTGTGGGAAAAGACTCGATCCCATGTTGACACACGTCTCTTACCGCCATCCCAGAGGTTGGTTATGGGAAGTTTGACCTTTTTGGACTTTTTTTTGCAGCAAATACTTTCCGTCTCCGAAGGAAATGTGTCTCAGGACCACTGACGGCACCTTGTGGATCTGGTTGGTCCCGCTGCTCTACGCGATCAAGGAGAAGACAGAGGACCCCTTTCTCCCACGCGAACCTCCTTCACAAGCCTTCATACAGCTGAGGAGGGACGAAGAGAAGCAAAGGTGGGTCTGAAAGGCTGAGGTAGGATCGGATGAACTGTCCTGCTCTTCAAAGGGCTTTTCATTCCTTCTGCATGGTGGCTTCTCAAGGAGCTGCCCCTTCTCCTCGGTATGCTGTGTCCCCTGCCCTGGGGGGTGTTGAAGGAGCATTGGTGGACCTCAAGGGGGGGATGGAGCCCGGTGCCGTGCGGTCTCATCCAGACAGCTGGATGGGAGCAGTCCTGGGGAGAGAATGCGTTGGAAGGGACCTTCAAAGATCATCTAGTCCAACCCCCCCTGCCATGAGCAGGGACATCTTCCACTAGATCAGGTTGCTCAAAGCCCTGTCCAACCCGACCTTGACCAGCACCAACGATGGGGCAGATGTCCCTGTCCTTGGCGGGGGGGGGGTGGTGTACTAGATGGTCTTTGAAGGCCACTTCCAGCTCAATCCCAACCCAACCCATTCTGTGATCTTCCACTAGATCATGTTCCTCAAAGCCCCGTCCAACCTGACCTTGAACACTTCCAATGATGGGGTACCCACAGCCTCTCTGGGCAACCTGTCTCACCACCCTCATCGTACAACATTTCTTCCTTAAGTCCGCTCTAAATCCAGCCTCTTTCAGTTTGAAACCGTTGCCCCGACCCAGGTGCAGGACCTTGCACTTGGCCTCGTTGAACTTCACGAGGTTGGCACGGGCTCACTCCTCCAAGCCTGTCAAGATCAACTTGAACCTTGAGTTTTGTCCTAATGACCTTAAAGCGGGTAAATTTCCAAAAACTCCTGCCTTGCCGTGTAGAGTCACTCGCTGTCAAAGCCCAGCTCCTCCTTCCAGCCCGCAGCCACCCTGGCTGTAGGTCACCACTGTGTCATGGTGCCATCTCAAATGCTACCAACGTACCTCCCGGTCCTCCAAAGTCCATCTGATGTTCTTGACCTGCTTTCCTAGGAAAGTCCTGAAGATGATGGACACGCACAAGACCTTGATTAGAAGATGTGCTCCGCTGGCAAAGAAGGTGGTGGAGATGGTGGCCTTGAGGAACTTCGCCAAGGACCCTTTGCCTGACATTTGGCTTCCACTCCAGCTCCTCTTGGACACCTTGTACAGGCGCAGCTTGCGCATCAGTACAGCCTCATCCCAAGTGCCTGTAAGGACAAGTGACTGGTGGAAGCCCTTCGTCTGCTCTGCAGGGAGTGGTGGGGCTGTTTAAACGTGGGCCAGAACGTGTCCTTGGTTCCTACAGAGATTTTCAGCAGGCCTGAAGGACTTAATTGTAGAAACACAGGGTTAGAGCTGAATCCTGGGACCAGAAGAAAGGAAATCCCTTTAATCTTGCCAGAAAACTTCACACGTGGAAGCTCCTCAGCTGCGGGAGCAGAAGCCTTCTCACATTTGTCCTCAATGTCTTTCTGTCCTCTTTTCAGGAAGACGATTTGAACATGGCTTTGGAAATCATCGCCACCAGGATGGACTCCTGGTTCAAGGACTTGTGAGTGGGGACTTCTTGAGAGGAGAGGTGCTGGGGCACCTCCATAAAGGGTCTGGGGAGGGAGGGAGGGAGGGAGGGATGGATGGAGGGATGGAGCGAGCCCTGGCTGAGCAGAAGGAGGGTGGCTGCTGTGGTTTGCCCATTATATTTTTGATGTCTTTAACCCCACCGTGGCTGGAGAGCATGGAGACCCACAAGGGGTGTGTCCTATGAACCTGCCCACGTCTCCCAGCTGCAGACGGTGCCTGTGGTCAGGTAGCAACTGGGAAAGCAACCGCAAGAAGCATTTGGTCCTTTCCCGCGTCCGCAGGTGCCCGTCGGGGTCTTCAAAGCAACCGCTGAAGCCCATGAATGAGCACGAGGTCTTGCAGCGTCTGAACTTGGGGTAGCTCTTGCTCAAGCATTTCTTGGAGGAGCTGATGAAATCGGTGTCCCTCAGCTCCATGATGATAACGCTGCGGATACTTGGGATGTTTGTCAGCAAAGAGGATTTGCTACAAGGGAACAAGGTGAGAACAAGGTCTGTGGCTTCTGTCACGGGGGCTTAGCCTCCTGTTTGTAGCCACGGAGAGCCCAGAGCTTCTGGCTCACTCTTCTATTCTTTGATTTCTCAAGGAAGTTTACTTCAGTGGAAAGGTTTCAAGAGTTTTCATGTTTGACCACGCCGTGGCTCGAGAGATACTTTCACAGGGCACCCACGGACGAGAAATCCTTCCTGAAGAACATTGAGGTGAGTGACGAGAGCCAGAGACCAACACGAGCCACAGCCCTGGATAGATCTGGGTGTTCCTCGAGGTCCAGCTGATGGGTTTGGCTCTTCCTCCGTAGACGTGGCAGCAGCTGCTTTCAGTGAAGATTCTCTGTGCGGGGTGGACCAAGGAGTGGCAGGGCTTGATCCGCAACATGTTTGAGAAGTGGCTGAAGAAGGCGAGTCGTGGAGACGTGGCAGCTGGTGGGGGGGATGATGCTCCTGGTCTTTGCCACGCTCGGTTTTGCCTCGGTCACCATTTTGGTGGCGGAACTTGAGCAGGCTGGTAAGGACCCAGCAAGCAGCTGCCTCTGAAGTGTTTCCTTGCTGTAGGTTAATGACCAATACCTCGTGGACTTCTACCAGGCTTTCCTGAAGATGGAGAAGCGCTGTGACGCGGAGTTGGAGAGCTGCTTTACGAATTGCATCATCCAGTGGATCAGAGCCCTCGACAAAAGGGAGGTAGGAGACCTGCCACCCCTCCTTGGGCTGCTGGAGGCCTCTACATCCCACTTTGTCGACTCTTTTACTGATCTGGGCTGGGTTAAGAGGGTGGAGAAAGGTCTTTCTGAAACAGCCGCGAGTCCACAAAGCCCCTAAAGAGGAGAAATTTCTTGTCCTTCCAGGAATCCATGCTAAAATCCGTGATACCCATGTTCCTCAAGATGAGCAAACCGGCTGCTGGGACGGTGCTTTCTGTTCTCGTGGAGAAAATGTGTTCGGAGATGAAGAGGCTGGGAAGCGTCGACACGTTTGATGAGAGCACCGGCCCCGTTCTTGCAAACCTGCTTAACACTCCCGGAGTCTGTGATCTCATTTCTGCTGTCCGTGAGTGTCCCCTGAGGGCTTTTCTCGGGAGAAGCTCTTGGTTTGTAAGTGAGCTAGACAGGAAGACCAGGTCTTTTCAGAGGGACCTTCCAATTTTGTTGGCAACACAAAATGAGAGGTGGGGAAAAAAATAATCTTCCACGCTAGAAAATGAAGCTTCATTCCAGGAATGGAGAAACATCTTGGTTTCATTCCAGGAATCTTGATTTCTTTATCCCGTCGCAACGCTGCTTCATTGCGCACTCGGTGAGCATGGGGCTTGTTGTTGAGGGGAAGGACGTGATGGAGCCAGAGCGCGTCCACGCGAAGACAGTCAAGTGTTAGAACACGAGCGAGGTGGTGGAATCACCACGCTTGGAGGGTTTCCGTGGCTGGACAAAGCCTGGTTTGAGGCCAGTGTTGGCCCTTCTTTGATCAGGAGATGGAGGAGAGGATAACTCGTGGCTGTTGCTCCCTGCTACGACTTCTGGCACCATCAAAAAGTCTCTGGGCTTGTTGTCTCCCTAGCTGCCCTTCCCGCCTGGCACCATCAAAAAGTCTCTGGGCTTGTCTCCCTAGCTGCCCTTCCTGTAGTAGCTGTTGGCTGCGGTGGGATCGTCCCTTCGCCTCCTCTTGGCCAGGACAAAGCCACCCAGCATCCTCTTCTATGCCCCAGTCCCTCATGGAAGCCCTCCACATCCACTGGAGCTGGCTGCCCAACCTCAGGTGCAGGCTCCTAGATGGTCCCTATGGTTTGTTTCAGGCAGGGGGAGATGCCTGGGTTTCCCAAAGGAAATTTGGGATTTGTCCGAGATGCCGGTTTTGATGGTTGAGCTAGAAAGCAACGACCCATCTGTTCTCCACACCAGTGGGGTGACGGATCCCCGTGAACCGGAAGCTGCTGGTGCTTCCCGAGGATCTGGCTCCAAAAGAAATAGAGGAGAGAACTTGCCGGCTGTCTTTCACCAAACTTCATTTATTTTACAGAAGAATCGAAGAGCAAATTTCAAGTTCAGCTCAGCGATGGCGCGGAAATCCTCCTTTCCCGGGTGTTACGCACTCTCCAGCTTCGTGGGACGTCGCATTCTCTTGGGAGACATTCCCTGCAGTATCCTCTCCGACATCTTAAAGCATAAGGAGCTGTTTAAGAAGATACTGTGCACCTGTGGTAAGTTCGGAGTTTTCCAACTTGGGTGTGTTTTCACAGTTACGTGGCCAACAGGAGATACATGTACTGGATAATTATCTAAAATGCAAAGGAAACTAAAACTTACCTGGAACGGCAGTCCAAAAACAGAAGTAAAAATACAACAGTTGGTCACCGAGGCAATTTTAAGCCATTTGAGAAGCAGGAAGAAGTGAAAATGCGGGTTTTTTTTTTTTAAATGCAGTGTCGTCGTTTAACCTTAGCAGGCAACTAAGCACCACCCAGCCGCTCGCTCACTCCCCCGTGATGGGATGGGGGAGAGAATCGGAAGGGTAAAAGTGAGAAAACTCGTGGGTTGAGATAAAGACAGTTTAATAGGTAAAGCAAAAGCCGCGCACGCAAGCAAAGCAAAACAAGGCATTCATTCACTCCTTCCCATGGGCAGGCAGGTGTTCAGCCATCTCCAGGGAAGCAGGGCTCCATCACGCGTAACGGTGACTTGGGAAGACAAACGCCATCACTCCGAATGTGCCCCCCCTTCCTCCTTCTGCCCCCAGCTTTATATGCTGAGCATGACGCCATATGGTGTGGGATATCCCTTGGGTCAGTTGGGGTCAGCTGTCCCAGCTGTGTCCCCTCCCAACTTCTTGTGCCCCCCCCAGCCTGCTCGCTGGTGGGGTGGGGTGAGAAGCAGAAAAGGCCTTGACTCTGTGTCAGCACTGCTCAGCGGTAACGAAAACATCCCTGTGTTACCAACACTGTTTCCAGCACAAATCCAAAACGCAGCCCCGTACCAGCTACTGGGAAGAAAATTAACTCTACCCCAACCAAAACCAGCACAGCTTGCAACAGCATCTATGCTATCGGAGTTGCTAGCTACAATAGTTTAATGCTAACAATTACCCATTTGTTCCCTAATTCAGGGCGATGGCTGCGGTGATGGTGATGTAAGTTTGCAGGAGGCTGTCATCGATTAATGTGCAATTATTTTGCCCAGTGCTTTGTTAACTATTCAAGGTCGGGGAGGTTCGAAGTAAATACCTGGCACGGCGGCTAATCTCAAGGGAGATATATCAGGAACATCCTCGATGAATCAGGAACATCCTTGATAAATCAGGAACATCCTTGATGAATCAGGAACATCCTCGATAAATCAGGAACATCCTCGACAAATCAGGCTGTTCGGAAATAACTTGTTTTATCAGCAAAACCACAGGAATTTGGCTGCGACAGCTGAAGCGTGAAACTAAAGGTGAAGGAGAGTTAATTCCGACAAGGGGAGATCACGACCACTGACTCACGGCCCACCGACTCAAGAAACCCTCCGACCCAAAAGAAGAGGAGACTGAGCATGCGGACTAATTAGCATAAGAAACGAGAGAATCATTTAACCAACAGGAGACGGCATATAAATAGTGCGAAGTTTTGATCATCATGTTACCGTAAATCGGCAGATGAAGAGCTCTCCAAGACTCAATTTGGAGTTTTAGAAAGCAGGCGTTCTTTATTGCGGCGCCGGGTGCAAGGTGGAATTTCCACAAATCCAGCACGCCTAGATCACCGTTACATTTATGCACAAAAATTACAGGGTAGTACACTCCCAGTTACAACGATTGGTTAGTGATTTACCTATAATTATAATACCGGTTATGTCATTCTCTTCTGTTACTACGCTTGCGCGGGGGAAGGGTCTTCACCTGGGCAGGGGTCGTCTTGACCTGTGGGTGTGGTTTTTAGTGTTATAACGAGGACAGGTGACTTCAGGACACCTTAAAAGTAGGTTTTGTTGCCAAGTTGGCCAGCTAGATATCTACCTTGGCAGGTTGGCAACTAACTCATCCCATATACAATAGAACCTCGGGGCTCTGGAGAGTCCAGAGAATCGGGAACAGGGACTTCAAGCAACGCAGCCTTCAAATAATAATTAACACAGCGACCTACGCATAACGCTACCACGGAGGCTAACTTATTGCAATCGAAATGTTCTTCCAGTTGGTTATTTCATAACCTAAAGATTCAGTGAAACTTAAGATCATCTTCAAAATCCGGAGAGCCAGTCTTTTGCCGGCTA